GGGACTGGAATGATCTGAGAGGAAGGATGACGATCTGAGTGGAAGGAAGGAGAAAATGCAGTCAAATCGACGTTGCAGAGCTCAGCTGTTTAATCAGCGAACAGTGAGTTACAAAAATGGGTTTTTTTTCTGGTGATTTGGTTTAGTAGTTAGTTGTGTTGTGTATTGCCAACTCAGATATGAGCTGGCTGCCCCAAATTAAACCGTCTCAGTAGTGTTTCGCAATTAAAAATCGGTTTTCGGAATATATACGAGAATTTTTGAATTTTAGTAAATACTAGAGTCGTTGCATTGAGTATTATAATAGCTTCATCCCTAGTTCGCTTTATGTATATTGAATATTTTTACGCGTTTGATCGATACCCTCCTTCAAATTTACTTGCGTTAGAGATTCGGGAAAGATATCAATTCGCGGTTTATTCTTTTGCTTTATATACATCGTGTTTATTTCATATCTCTTTTCTTTTTTTTACGTTTATTCTATTTAAAGTTAACTTCATTCTAAAAATCGAGAATAATATAATATCGCGGTTTCCCCTCTTAAATAAATCGCGTTTCGAAATACTTTTCGCGTCGTCCATTCCACAGTGACTCACATTTTGTGAGTCTGTGAGTCTTGGGAAATCAACGACGAGGAACTGGAATGATTTGCGGAAGGATGACGATCTGAGAGGATGGAAGGAGGCAATGCAGCCAAATCTACGTTGCAGAGTCCAGCTGCTTAATCTGCGAATTGTGAGTGAATTTTTTGAGGGTTTGGTGGTTGGTTATATATGTGTGTGCATGTGCATGTCGAAGCTGAACTACCAAGAGGTCAAAGAAGAACTGGATGGACTCTACTGCACTAATGGTGCAAACGCCCTCCCATTATTAGAGTATCAAAGTAGTATACCGCGTTAATTCAATTTAGTGTCAATTTTCCCATTTACTTTCGATCGATACGAGAATTTATCACGTCGCGTCGCGTTTGATAAATAGCTTCGTCCCTTTTTCCATTTTTGCGTTTCTTTTCTCTTTTCTTTTTTGAATTTTTGCTAAATGTCCCAACTAAAATCAACTACAGGGAAATATGGAGGATAATAAAAATTCGCGGTTTCGGGTACTAAACAAAATCCCTGAAAATGAAAATAAATCGCGATTCGTACTCCACTTTTCGCGCGTCACCCTTTCACAGCTTTCCAAGTCTGGTGGGTCTTAGGCTTTGGCTTTGGGTCTTTCAATCTATCATTGTGGGTCACTGGTGGGATGAAAATTCAAGGCTGAGGGGAATTCAATGGTCCACTGAGGAAATTGCAAAAGTTTCATGGGTCTGAGAGAAGCTTCCAAGTGAATTGTGGATCAAAATCGAAGGCTGGGAGGACTGAAATTGGTCACTAAGGGTATCTCAAAGGTTACGAATGGTGAGTCGTATGAATTATTTATCTTGTCAATCTAATTTATATTCTGTTTCAGTGTTCCAGCGAAATTTTGTTAAATTGTAATAAATTCGCGGTTTTCCTTACTAAATAAAATGAAAAATAAATTGCCTGGGCGTTCTTGATCGTAGAGATCAGTTCTCAAAGCCTATTGTTGCCAATTCTGACGAGATAAAAAGTACCGAGAGTACTCATAAGTTTCAGGGTAGGAATAAAATCTATTTAACAATGTCCACCTGTGTGGAGTTGTGCGTTTTTTCGATGATCGATTTAGGTAAATATTTCGAGCTCACATAAGAGTTCAATTTTCTCCTGTTCGAAAAAGAATTTTGCCTTGAGTTGAGGTATGAGTTTCATTATCAGAGGTTTAATTAGGTATTCCATTGCTACGATTTCATATAAGAAAGATATCCTAACAATTTATCCTCCTGTTCCAATTTAATAATATACTTTTCTTACAGAACTTCGATGCTATGATTTTAAATATGAAAATAAAATATAAATAAGTCCACCAACTATTTCGAATTTTAGTTCAATTAGAAAATCAGGAACTATACCAATCCTCGACGTCCTTTGTCGAATACATATTCAGTAAGAAATTATGGAATATCCAAGTAAATCAACGGGATTCTTGACGAATCTTGTTAGTGGTGAATCTTAGGCAATTCGCGTCATTTCTTAAAAATTCTCCTTTTCCAAAATTAAACTAGCAAGTAAGCGAAGTTCTAAGTTAAGAACTGTGTGTGTGAGTTTTAATTTTAAGGATTGTAGTTGATAAGGTAAAATAAATTAGCCTAAGAAAATAAAAAATAATTCTATTCATCCGCCGATGGACGTCGTGGGATGCGTGCGTTTTACTTTTAAGTAGTCCATAAAATAAAATAAGTAACTATAAGATAGAAAAATTGTATCGAGTAGAATGTGCGCGCTCTCTTACAGTGATACGCGTTTCTCATTCGTAGCTAATTACTAAAAATGCTTTCTACATTTTGCTATCGTCGATTCGAAACATAGAACATTAAATTCTCGATCACTCAGTTCCTGCGAGTTTATTCGCGACTTAATCACTCGCGAGTAGCGCGCGATACTCGCGAGTAAATTCGTCGTGTATGCTCGCTGGTTCTTTAGAATGATAGCGAATTTCTCGTTGCGCTCTGAATTCAATCTGACCGCGATTTATAATTTTTTGAAACCCTATCAAAGGAGAGCATTGAATTTTTCCAATCTTTAAATTAACTATGACAAAATGATTAGCGTTGCAATTTCAAATAAAATATAAGACACTCCTTAAAAATTTATGTTAAGAACACGAATTTTTGATAAAGTGTCTTATCTCCTTTGCTACGAATGAGAATCGCGTATCTCTGAAGATAGAGAGCTGCCAGTAGGGCATGTGTTTTTGTCGGGTCCCTTGCGTAGTCACCTCCTCGTGGTGGGACCTGGTAATTGGTATCCTTTTCCAAAGAAAATTCTCACTTTTGCAAAAGGATACCAAGCTAAGAACTACGCGTACCCGTGGACACTCTTATTCTCACACACAGTTGAAAGTTTTAACTTTAAGTAGTTCGTAAGATAAAGTTAATTCTAAGATAGAAAATGAATTGAACACTACGTGCGCGTTTCTTAATAAAATACCTTGAAAAATTATTCAGATTCTATGGTAGATATGAAAGTTCCATTTAACATGAAATTTTAACATTATAATATCGTGAAAATGAATTATTTGTGCAGTTCTGTGCATTTTCTGTGCAGTTCAACCTAATTTACTTAAATTCACATTGCGAGACAGTATACTGTAACAAGTAGTAACAAGCAAACGTTCAATAAATTCCTAATTCGTATTAAAAAAATTATTTAACACAATAATTTCAGCTTTATTATGATTATTCTTGATAAATGACCACAGGTCAACTTGATTTTTAATCGTTATAATCGTGAAGGTAGGCCGACTGTATGTGATAAACAATTGGCAACCAAACGGTGGCTCGCTAAAGCGATATATTATGAAATTAAAGTAATCATTCAATAAGTTTTAACGTTAAATTGTTTCCTCGATATGGCCATGGTGGTCATCAGTGGCTGGAGTGCCTCAAATGTTTAGAATAATTAAAATAAAATAAATGTTGTCAACTAAAAATTTTGAACGTCATAGCTAGAAACAAGGGAAAAGGACGAGCTGACAATTACAGGAGAGAATGGAGAACTCACGAGGAAATGAGCGATGAAAGCCAGGCTGTTACTGTTGTGCATCCTCCACTGGATATTCGGCCACCAAGATTTGACATAGAGGCACAGTTTCCTCGAGCCAACTGGCATGTAATTATATTTGCCATCTAACGAACCAGTCGATCGTGGCACGGTTTGACTCTCGAAGTCCGGTCTACGGTCTGGCGGTCGGTTTCCTGCTTGAAAATTAATCAGATTTTACACAGAGGGGAACCGCGTACATGGGGCAAACTTGTCAAGCGTATTAAACAAGTAATTGGAGAATGGTAAGAGCGTTGTTGGCAGAGATGCTCGAGTGGTGAATCTCGAGATTCCATCTCTTTCCAAACTGTCGACCAGTATCGAAAGTGTACTTGTTAACGAAAGAAGTATAGTATACATGTGAATCGAATACCGTCGTTATTGTCCTCGAAGCATTGGCTACGAGGAAATTGTTTGTTGCCAGCGTTCCCGAGGCTAACCTCGAAGCTTATTGATTTCAGCCAAAATTTTCGCCGATCGATCATGCTCACGTCGTACAGTATGGCCACCAGGTAATATTCTTCCGTCCTCCATAAGCTTCTCTTTTGTACAAGGGAATTATCCAATGTCGTTAGTGGGTTTGTAAATTAACCCTCATCCGTCTCCGAGTTTCGCATCTTAATAGGTCCCTCGGTGTTAATTTGACACAATGGTAAAAAATCAATCAAGTGAAAAAACAACAAATTCTTTTTACAAATAACCGAATAATACAATTTTTTACCGGAAAAGTGTGTCAAATTGATACGAGGGACGGATGAAGGTTAAGGGACAAAAAGAGTTGGCTACAGGTTATGCTATATCAGGTCGTAATTTAAGGATAGTTGGAATTTTTCAAAGATTTTAATTAGTTTTGGTTATTTTCAAAGCTTTAACGTGTTTGATAAACTGAAGATATTTCAAAGTCGTTAAACTATCCTCGTTTCCTTCATGGGAACAATTGAGCGTGGTACAGTTAACGTGGGCTACAAGAAAATTCTCATAATGTCCGGTAGTGTGACGGCTCGACATTAAATTCGCTATAACAAAGGAACCATCTGGTTCTGGCCAATGTAGAATCACGAAAGGAGGCCGTTAAATCGATAGAACAAAGTCATACCGGTCTGTTTTATGCGTTATTTACGTGTCCGTTCGTTGTACAGTGTGTAAAAAAAGTCACGGTTTTAGGGGATGAATCGCCACCTCTGGATCGGTGGACATTTGTAAAAATAACTTGCCGCCAAGTTGTTTATAACGATGAATATTAATGTTACATTTTTCTTTTGCGTCGACGTATTCTGCTCGACAAAAAGGGAAACAGTTTGAAAGGAGCCATATAACGTAAACAAATAGTTTTCGAGATAAACGTTGTTAAATTTTTGCCACGATTTGATTGTGTAGAGTATAGACTAGGACCTGTGACCACATGCGTGCACCTACACAAACGACGATTAAACGGACAACGAGGTTTAACCCTTTGCGTTCCTATGTCGAATCAGACTTAACATAGGAATTTTTGCCTTCAGATATCATAGACTGATAAGTTATAAATTATAAACGATAATAAAGCATTTTTTTATGCATTAATATGATAGTGAAACTTAATATTTTATAACTAATATTACGCTGAAATATTGAAATAAAAATAAACTACACGGTACTGCTCGACAGTAGCCAAATGAGTGCGAATTAACTGGACTATTCGGACTGCAAAGGGTTAAAGGACACAAAGAATGTATTGACTCCGAAGGCAGGACCGAACCATGTAAAATCGTATTATAAACATTTTTGTGGCAAATTTTTTTTTTTACAAATGTTCACGGATCTAGAGGTGTAGATTCATCCCCTAAAGCCATGGCTATAACTTCTTTTACACACTGTACATAGAAAATGAAGCGTGACGGTGAATTAATGTCTGTCATTCGCGAGCAAACTGTCGCTCGTCTGTTATTTACCGAAGTATTGGATTATTCCAAAAATCCGTTTTATCATGCAGACACTGTTGGACGCAGTACGCTATTTTTATTACGGAACAACGGTTGCGTTAATACTGTGGATATTGATTGTGAAGTGTGTCTGATCACACACTCTGTTTCCCCCTGTTCCTTCTCATTTTGGTTCAAACGTATTTTACGATGCGTTTGAAAAGATGAAATTCAAAGATTTGAAAATTTAATATTTCAGAAATTAAAAAATTTGAATATTCAAATATCGGTAATTTAATAATTTTATAAATGGAGAATTTGAATATTTGAGATATGAAATTTTAAAGATTTTAATATCTAGAAATTCGAAAATTTCAATATTTGCCATTTTGAAACTTTGAGTGTTTGAAAATTGAAATATTTGAAAATTGGGAAAATTGAAAATTCCTATTTCGAAGTACCTCGATCTTCCGAAAGAAAACTGATCAAAATAAATGTACCTCTATGATAGGTGCCGCCAGCTCTGTTTCGGCTGTAACTCCAGACGACGATTCAGAGTCATCCATTTCGGTTTTCAGGGAGAGTAGAACTCTGCCACGATAGAAAGGGAGGGCTGTCGAGCACTTGCCTAAACAGCTACTCTTTTCTGTAGACCCGCTGCCATAAAAGTGAAGAAAGGATGGACCGAAAGTCGGCAAAAAACCTGATAAAAGTGACATATAGTAATACATCAGTGTATTTCGTATAGTCACTTTTACAGGGAGAAAAGCCTGTGTTCAATTGCTCATTGTCTTTTCCTCCCACATCGTCCATCCAACCAATACCAACAATTATACTACTTTATCATCTGTTCAATTCGATTTTCACAAAAATGACAAAATCTCGAAATACAAATAAACATTCCAAAGCACAAATTACCACACGAAATTTCCAAATTGCATTCGCTACCAGTTCGATCTCTATACTATTGACAGTCAGTCGATCTGCAATTTGGCTAAATTTTTCATTTTATCGAGGTTGCGATAAAAACGAGGAAACGACTGAAGCGGCCCGCGGTGATCAAACTACGAGTATAGGAATAGGAAAAGAGGGACAGAGAGAGAGTAAAAAATAAACGAAACTCGATCGAATCGAACCGGACGTTACACGACGTTGGTTACATTAAACGCGGACGAGTTACCTATCCGCGAGAGGGGAAAAAAGAGGAAGAGAGGGAAGAATTTAAAGTACAAATAGAACAGAGCAAACAGGACTGGTTGATCAACGTTTCGTTTGCAGCTGGTTATTTGAGTTTCGTTTATGTACGATGGTTTCAGGTCGTTTAATTCATCCAGTTCAATTCGACGCTCGGTCGGTATTCTCAACCTAGTGCTGTTTAACCCATTCTTTTTTTTTTTTTTTTAGAATTTTCTCCGCGATATTAGACACTCGGTGACGCGTTGAAATTTCTCGAAAAAAGATTCGCGATAGGCGAACGTAATTTACCGTACTCTCCAGAATTTGAGATTCTGCTCATGTTGAGAATATAGGAAGCCATCACGCATGTTCGACAACTATTAATACGATGCTTGAGGGTGATTCTGACGCGTTGACAAAGGGATGGAAACATTTCCTTGAACGTGATTCTTTCGTTAAATCTGGGACCGTATATTTGCCACGCTTGACTCGTCGTTCGCTAAAAACAGTCCCAAATATCATAAATTATTTCTTACAAAATTAAAAGATTTCGAGTCCCACAATTTTCGATAAAAAATGTAAATTAATTCCTTCTCGTGGAAAGTTAGCTGAATACAGAATTAGGAGAAACTATTAATTTCGAGTTCTACAATTTTCAATAAAAAAATTATTCAAATGGAGCTTAATATAATTTCTCATGGAAATGAAGCTGAAGGCAAAGGAATTCACATTTTTGAAAAAAAGAGTTAACTCATCATTGTCCATATTATTCATTGCAAAATTAGAAAGCACTATTAATTTCGAGTTCTACACTTTTTCATAAAAAAGTAATTCGACTGTGTCTTAGTATAATTTCTGATAGAAATGAAGCTTAAGGCATAGGAATTCGCACTTTTGAATAAACATTTAACTCACCATTGTCCATTAAAAAAAAAATGAACGAGACTGTTGAATTTTTATCGGCAATCAACGTACCTTCATGCCAGCGAACGATATCTGAACGAAAGGGTTAACATTTTCGAAATCGTTTTTCACACAGAGACTGCTCATATCTGGTAAACCATCTGCCCGATAAATCGTGAAAATGTAACAGGCACGCTGTCTGAAAGGGAGAAATTCACCGCCAACGGGTAACAAGAGGTTCCTGTAATTATTCGATTTCCATTAATAGGCCGGCAAGCCGGTGCGTTCCAAATTTCAGCCCAGCCCGAATCGATTTCGCGACACGCGCCACGCGAACACCGTGTAACGTTAAAATGGATGCTGGTACGCGTTGCTATTTCCCTTTCAAGGGAGAATTCAATATGTATCTAGATGAAAAGTTACGCATATGAATTATGGGACAGCGAAAACAAGAAATTTGTTTAGCTGAATGGGGAACATTGGAAATGGGTGAAAAGGATATATTCCACTGGACACTTTTTTTCGGGGAAGTCGAGAAAATTGATTTGCATTTAGAGCGAGGATTGAAACGAAAATATTTCTATTATGAAGTTATCTTTCGAAAAAATTGGAATAATTCCCTAGTGACAATTTTCGATTGATTTTATTAAATAAGCGATTATGCCGTTTTTCTTTTATTTCCTGAAAATAAAGAATAAGGTTCAGTGGAAGCTTTTCCTTCCTCTCAGGAATTTCAGTATGGAATTCTTATGAACTAAAACTGCGGAATTCTTATGATTTAAAAGTACGGAATTCTGAAATATGGAATTCTTATGAATTAAAAGGATGAAATTCTGAAGTATAGTATTCTTATGGATTAAAAGTATGAAATTCTGAAATTCAACACGAATGGTGCATATTTGAAATTTCGCAGTCGAAATTTAACGAAATGAAATATTCAAGCATCTAATTAATTTAAGTGCGACGGAAGAATTGCCGAAATGTGGACCATATTTTAGAAGACACTTGAGCTTTAGATATTGACTATATAAAGTTTGAATGGCAATAAAGTGTGATATATTTTAAAGCACCTTTTAATGAGATTAGTCGGAAGATGGTTTATTAAATGAATATCGATTTGATGAATAATTTCGATGTCACAGAGAGTTCAATGCTTCTTAATTTAATTTGTCAAGACTTGTAACCGTCTCCTGATACTAAATAAGTTGCATTGATACTGAAGTTGTAAAGTATCCAAAGTTCATCAATTAGAAACTTCTTAATATCGCCGAATTAGTAAACGATATTACTCGTTACAAGAGTAGTTTAAGTTGGAAATTACCCCTCAATATCGTCCTCGCCCTCTGTGTCCGGAAGCACTCTCAGTTTCTCCCCTTTTACATTAATTGCGATATTGCATTTCACGTAACCTTTCGGTCCGGCAGAGAGATCCTTTGGGTTCGTCAACATCGCCCATTTGTGATAATATTGACGATCTGCACGAGTCAATTTGCCGTATTATTTAACAGGTGTAAAATATTTCAAATTAAAATCCAGGAATCATATGGGAATATTTCGGAATTCTTAATAAAAGAAAAAAATAAGGAAAAATAATTTGAAAAAAAATTAAATTGTAAAAAAGGAATATTCTTAATTATCACCTGGTTGATCCCAAACGAGCGCAACTTCGAAGCTCGATCTTCCATGAAATTTAAAGCGTAGATAGCTTTTTAAATACACGGCAATCATGATTTTAGTGCTCAATAGTTCATCTAGGCTACATAAAAAGTCGAACACGAAATACTGGAAGAATTTAAAAAATAGTTTAGTAAATGTATTCCATGGAGTTTAGTCGAAATGTCATTTGGAAATATTACATCGTTGTAAATAGGCGAATCGGTTCTTTCTCGAACCACGGTCTTTTTCCTCCGATTGCCCACTTTAACCACGACCATAGGATTTGCATTTTGGGGCAAATGCTTCGCTTTCAAGATCTTTATGCAAACTTGGTAAGCGCTTGGACGAAATTTCCTCGGGCTCATCGTTGTTTCGATAGACTCGATTGCTTGTATTGGATGTACTTCGCGTTTGTTTGATGTACTGTCTGTTTGTTCAGCAAATTTCATGTCGTCGAATTCGCTTCTAAGATCAATTAATTGTTTATCTATCTTTGGTAATACTTGAATCCATACGTTTGTAAAGTTTGAAATTACGTAAAGGAAATTACGTTTCTAGGGATTTTTCTTCTATAGGGGTAATTTGCAAGGTGTTTTTTAAATTCTGTCTTCTGTTTTTTCTATTGTTGGTAAATGCGAATTCTCATCAGATTTGGATCATAAACTTGTATGATTTAGCTGTAGGGAGCGACACTAAGTTATCACGATAATTAAATTTTTATAGAAGAAAGATCTTCGTGTTTAAATAAAAGTCTTATTAATAAACTTGATTTGATAATAGAAGCTCTGTTATTTTTTCGTATTATTTATTGAAAACATTTTTTGAAACTCAGTTGATATGACAGAGAACTTCTTCTGAATTCTGCTTTCTATCTATTTAACTTAATTTTCATAATGTTTATAATTATGAACAATTACATAATTAACATTTGAATAAGTTAAAATTGCTGTGTTAATGCTGCGAGGATATAATTTCGAGGGAATTTTGCTCTAAGGGTAAAGTAACATACAGAGCAGTCAATAAAACAGAAGGAGATCCTCTATCTGTTTTACCAACAGAGTTATTGATCTCCTCACTGCTCCTTTCATCGCAATTTAAAATATTCCTATATTGTTACAAGTATCCATTGGAAAAATTTCCAAACAAATTCAAGGACCCTTAAAAATCCTCGAAATAATAAAAAAACAAAGAGCGAGCCAATAAAAATAAAGGACATCGAAGTTTCTATTTTAATTAACACTGGTCTTGTAAATTATCACGAATATTCCAGATATCCGAAAATGATTCACCGGAGCGTTTATGGTAATCGAAAATCTGCAGAATTGCAATGGCCCTCTATAGTGCTCGCTGTGTCGAATTTAACGCTGACTTCTCGCAGGTAATTTTTCCGATTTGTTGGACCGGATAATCGAATAAATCCAATTAAACCATTCCCGTGAAATTTTCGTGGAATCGTCTCTCTGCCACGCCAAAAATTACACAGAAGGGATTTACTATATTGTATAAAAATCAACACATTTTTTTCAAAAAATTCAGTAGAGAATCTGTCGATATTTTTCTACATTACGACATAAAATCGTGAATTCGACTTGATTATTCAAAAGATACACAGGGAAAATATATCGCGTGATTTCCAATGCTTTATACGTGATTCTCTCGGAACAATTGTTGATATTTAAAAATTT